GGGGGGGGGGGGGGGGGGGTAAGGCAGCTTCCCAACCCCCTTTTAAGAATTTTTCAAAAATATAACAATAGATCATATTATTTTTTTAGATCGATAATATTAAATGAAAGAAGTCTGAATGGGACTTCTTGTGAAAAACATATAAAGCAGTGTTCTCCTGAATGAAATTTAATTTTCCACAGTCTATCCATTTCATCTTTCTTCTCAAGTTGGGCATCCCTCTTTGTAGCTTTCTGCCAATGTACTGTATATGCGACATATTGATCAGTAGCAATTGAAGTAATATTGATGTTTACTTTAAATGAATAGGAAAAGAAAAGGAAAAGGAAGTCAAAATAAAACCCCAATTTGTTGAAGACAGGTACATAATRATAATATTAAAATTGTATGGTGAATATACTCTACTATTATCACTTAAGAATATTGTTAAGTTAAAAAGTACAATAACAGTATATTCATCATAAACTTGTGAAATCGTTCAAGATTGAAAGCTGTGAACATTGTGTTTTCACTGAAAAATGTGTTTTTGACTAATTGCAAAGGCTTTACAATGTAAAAAGATGTACATGTAAAAGAAGAAAATTATAACTTGTTTCTTAAAGCAATGTAAAGATGCATTTAAGATATTAAGAGTACCAGAAAAGTATTTTTTTTTTTTTTTTGGTTTGGAAGCATGTTTCTACATGTAGCTTTTATTATAAATATTGTGAGGTATTATWATTATAGATAATTATAATAAGACGTTTTTTCATTTTCCCCAGTATATATGGAGATATTGGTGACTATGACACTTCACTAACAACCAAAGATACAAACAAAAAAGATCGACATAAAGAAAAATCAAAAGAAAAACCTCATGACAAGTCCAAAACCAGTGAGCGGGACTCGCACAAAAGAAGCAACAAATCGCATCAGTACTTTGAAAAGCCTTCTACAACAGAGAAAGAGGTTTGTGATTTTTATAAACAAGCAGTGAGTTTTGTTTGTATTAAATTGATAAATTGTACAATCATTAAAAAAAGAAGGAAATTCTATGCAGTATTGAAGCTCAAGCAGCTACAACATAGATTTTCTTTCTTTTTTATAGTTGAAACTTTGTTTATGTAAAAGACAAAATAAAAACAGCTATAGGTTTTTATTGTAGTATATAATTTATTCATACATTTTTTATGTATGGGTAAATACGGTATGATGAATTAATTYATTATTAATTTGTCTCTATTTGAAYTTGTTGATATGTTATAGCTACGTAGCTATCATTATACCTTGATAATGATTAAGTAGTGCTGTAAAACTTTACCCCCACTTTTATTGTTTTGCCAGATTATAATATCCAGCCTTTATCCTTTGATTTGAATTTGATTTTGGAAGGTCACTGATTGCCTTGTTTGTAAAGGCTGCATGATTGTTGAGATGTAAAGTTAAGCAGTCACTCTAGAATATTCATTCAGACATTGAAATATGTGGTATTTGAGTATTCTCACAAATTTCAATGCATGATTGCAGAAGTCATTTCAAAAATTTGAATCCTCCATTTGATGTATTTTGTGTTAATTTGATTTCTTTCTCTGCAGGAGTCTTTCAGCAAAAAAGGTAACAATGTATATATAACATATTCAATGGGTTATAATAAGCTTAGTTTCTAATAATGAATAGATTGCATGAGGAGGTCTAGATGTTGTCCTTTGTATTGTTTGTGTTYGTACAGCAGGGGGGTTTAGAGAAATAGCAAATAACCATTCAACTGTATACYGTACACAGTCAATTAAGCACTGTGTGAATCTAACCACTTTGARGGCAATTGTGTGGGAATTTTGATCTTCTGTGTCACATAACCTCAAATAGAGCAATTAGAAAGAAAACAAAAATGAGAATAAAACAAATGAAAAAGACAAACTAATGAAAGAACAAATCAGGAATAAATGTTAATTATTCTAGAAACATTATTTGTCTTTTATAGATACAATAATGCCAAGTCCTCCTGAGTAATTAATCTTAAATATTATTATATTATTATTAGTATTGGTATTAGTATTAATCTATTATTAATATATKATCACTCTTTTATAATATTGGCCCTTTTTGTCTTTAAAACAGATGTCGATGCTACTGAATTTGCCAAGGATATAACTGAAAAGTACAGGAAAAGGGTTAGTAAATGCACRCATTGCATGTTTTAATGTACATGTGACATGTGTGACCATTTGTATGCATGTTACATAACACAAATATTATGCTACCAAAAAAAAACTTCCAGAAAATTCTAATTATGCAAATAAGTAGCTTTTGTCTATATTTGGTTGTCAATCCTGCTAGTCCATTTACCATGAGGCCTTTCAAGAAGAAGTGATTTTTATAGAAATGAAAAATAGTAAACATGGGATCTTTTAACTGAATTAATATTAACTATTCATATCCAAGAGGTTTTATTACAGTAAGTCTGAAAAGCAATTCTTATTCTTATCCAAATTCATAACATGTATTGATTGTAACAGTCAAGTATTCAAGTTTGACATGTTAATGACCTATGATAAGCAGCTGAGGTACTGATTATRAATGCCTATAATTTTTGAACCTTTGCACTGATGGCCCTGAAACTGCACYACTAATTCCTATCAGTATGCAAGCCATTTGAACATAAGAAGTGCTAGCCAAGGCATTTTGATGTTGTCATGGAAACTACAATTACAGGTTGCCTTTTCCTTATTTGGAATTCTTAGTAGATTGTGAACTATGTGTGCAGTGAACCAACTTAGATTTCATTATCCATCTATAGATGCATTCTTACCATACTTGATTCATTAGAATAGCAATTTTACAAGGACCTATTCAAGAAGTCTTTTTTTACCACCTTCTGCACCATGCTTTTTGACTTTTTTTTTTTACTTAATTTGTATTCATTAATTTTGACAAATGATTTTATGCAACTTTTTTTCAAAATTTTCAGACTTGGCTATCTTATTATTCTACTTTTTTTAAGATGTAGTAACCTATTCAAGATGTTTTTCTGACATACCMTTTTTGCCTTCAAGAAGTGTTTTTAAAAATTAAGATTAAAATGTTTTGTTGGTTGAATTTTATTCATTACTTATTTTGATAATTAAATTTATGCAAATGATATATATAATATRATATATATTATATTATACAGCCTTTTGCAAAAATTATGAGAATTGTCTAAATATCTAAATATCATAATATCCATATCCATATATTGTCAGGAACACGCGGGTTTGCTAGAATAATTCATTGTTGACATCGAGAAAGTGTTCAGAAGTACGGATAAGTCTGTCGCCAAAAAAAAAACTAAACTACAAAGACAAGGGACTAAGGGCATCGCGTGGGATTACCCATCATGCACTCGTTATTATGATATTTCGACAATTCTCATAATTATTGCACAAGGCTGTATTACAGTATATATGATATATATAAATATTTGAAATTTTTAGTATTTCTTTGTTGTTGTCTTGTTATTCTACTTTTTAAGTAAGTTGTAGATGTTTTTTTTTTAGGAACACAGTGATGGATGGAGCAAAGAAGATTCAAAGTATCCTTATTCTTGCCTACACTTAGTTCCAATATGGCTGT